GAGAGAGGCTACATTGTGGGGATTGTAAACAACGTCACAAATCAAAATGCGCAGGGACACATTGGGCCGTGGAAACCGATGCTCTACGAATTCTCATCCAAATCACAATTAGATACATAAACAGTATCTCAGGTAACAAGCCTCTCCGGCTCCTCCCCTCTTAGTCCAGTGAGTGTGTTTGGGTTTGTTCTTAGACATTTGAGGTTCCCCCCCTTCTCCCATTTGATCATGGTTCACCCAGTGCAGCCCTCGTCAGACTGCTGGGGAGAGGTGGCCAAGTACTATCTCTAGGCCTGCGGAACATTTGATATTTTTAAGCTAAATGTGAGGAGGGGGAGAGGTAAGCTTTCCAAAGTTAGAGTCAAAGAGCCACAGATGCTTTGACATGCCTTTCCATGTGGATCACCACACTTCTGGGCCCGCCTGGAGTGGGGACACACGAGGGTCGTCCCCGTGGCTGTGGATTCCAACTCAACTAGTTACGAGCTTTGGCTAACTTACCTCGCCCACCTCTCCGATCCTCGGTTTTCGCTCCTTTGGATGAACCACCCCATCTCCCAATAGCTTTATAAAGAAGAGGAGGGAAGCACACCGACTCCCTGGGCCAGTGGGTGCCCCACAGGCACTTCCGGAAGGCCGCTAACTCCTAGCTCGCTAGCACGAGGGAACCCACCTGGGATCTTTCTCTGGACCATCTCGTTTCTACCGTCTACCTTTCGGATTTCCACCTACTGGCCTGATTTCATGGTCAGAATAAAGGGGAGGGACACGTGGCCCCAGTGCCCTGTGAGGAGCAGAGGCCAAAGGCAGTGCTCGGATTCTGGTCATCTACGGACCGGTTAGGAAGGGCCCCTGCCTCTGCTGTTCTGCACTTACCTGTCTGCATCAGGTACTTGATGCTAACTTCGTCAACCGGGAAAAAGGCCGCGGTGGCGCCATACTCTGGACACATATTAGCAATGGTTGCTCGGTCAGCAATGGATAACTGGGCCACCCCTGGTCCGAAGAACTCCACGAATTTGCCCACGACTCCAACTTGGCGGAGATGCTGAGCCGGGAAACAACAGACAAGCGTGAGACTTGAGAGCCAGGATTTAAAGCACAGAACCTTGCAATGCTGACCACATGAGCTCTGGGAGTAAGGCGCAAACGACTAACAGCCCAAGGCTTTTGACGGGACTTTGAAAGATAAACGCATACCAAATAATACCCACGACTGCCCTGTGGCATCCTGGACTGAATCTTAGAAAGAAAAGGCATTAATGCCACCCTGAAGGCAATCTCTTGAAGCCAGCTGGGGGACATGAAACATACCAATTCTCTGTGCTGCTAGTGCCACCAAAGGTTCTGACAATGTAACATTCCATCCGAAAACCGTTTATAAAACACAAAAAGTAGCACACAAGCGACACCACCACTCAACGTTTTTCAAAGTGAAAAACTTAATCTAATGAGATCACTGGAAGTTCTAGACATGGTAAGAATAGCCTTAGTCTTAAATATGACAGGCTTTTCCCCAAAAACACCTAGACAGTGCTCTACAGTAGATGTGACAAAACGTTAATATCTGTTCAATTTAAGGAGCAAGTCGTGTTCATTTTTGTTTATGTGAATTATTTCACAATTGTTTTTTCAGAGAAAAAGACAGGTACACAACAGATGAGTAAAAGAGAAAATCACAGAATATCTTCTTATCTGGTCATTCAAGGCAATCCCATGGTTTCCCGGCGCTTGGAGGCTCTAGCGCGGGCACACAGCCTGCATCGTGTGCTTCCTCTCGCCCAGTCATTAGACTTGCTGTGACTTGTGCATCAGGCCACACAAGAGGCAGCGTGTGCTTACCTTGGTAATGGTGAGCACGATGTCGGTGGATGTTACCAGAGGGTGGGGGTTGCCCATCAGCTTGTAGCCAATCACCTGGGGAAGCACCATGCTGATTGGCTGACCCAGCATGACAGCTTCAGCTTCGATACCACCTACACCTGCCATTCATGGAGCGGAGGAAGAAGGCTGTCATCATCCCTCACTCGATCCTGCATGTGTAATTTTAGCACCATCCCCGGTATGGATCCAGCCACAAAGCTGTATCAGTACAGTTATGTTTCTCTAGAAAGTAACTACCTTTCTTTAGTTCCCTCTATAGGACTCTAAACAAGTGCTTCTCAAAGTATGGTGGCCCAAACATCTGTATCAGTGTCACACAAAACAGGATGTAAAGTTCAAGGGTCTCCATTTTGAACAGGCACTCTTGGGTGATTCTCATTTATTCTAAAAGTTCCTAGCCTGTTATTCCAGTTCATTTTTCAAAAACATAATACACCCACTTCTGACTATCCTCAGGTGTTGCTTCCAAAAAGCAGGTTGTTGTGTAAAAATCATCAATAGGCAAAAATGGAGGCAGTTGAGGTCACTGAGGATAAGGGTGCAAAGTGTAGTGAAGAAACCAGGTGGTGCCCAGCTGTCAGAAAGAACAGCATCTGGGGTCCTAAAGGATCGTTTTCAAACGAACAGCCATCTAAGTGAGGCGGCAACTACATCGACTTGGAAGAAGCACATCAGCCAGCGTGATCCAAGGATGGTAAATAATGAAATCCACATCCGAAAGAGGGACTGGTATCAGAGTACTTGGTGTGCAGAATGCTATGGATGACAGTGAAATATCTTATCATTTGATTTCCCATTTTAAAGCTGTTTCCATTTTAAACATTTTCTGCTTTCTTTTCTATTGAGGTTTTTCTGTTTTGTTTTGTCAATGTTGTTGGTCTTGTGTGATTTCCTGTATATGACACCCAGGCTAGGTAAATCTGTAGTAACTGGGTTAATAATTACTGAGGGGCAGGGCAGGGGAGGTTGGGGGAAATGGGGAGCTAACAAAAATGAGTATGAGAAGAAAATGTTCTGAACATGGTTGTGATGAAGATGGTTAAATTTCATGATATGTGAAGTATATACCCCCAAAATTAATTTTTAAAAGGACGGCCACACCCTATCACAAAATGGACGATGAAAACATTACTGCCAAATCACATCGTTACGTAACCATCAAATGACATCATTACAAAACCTGCCAAACCTCTAAGCATCATGGACCAGCCAAGTTGACACATCCCCTTCACCACATTATTTTCATCTCACACCTTGGCATTCATCACTGCCAGCCTTACATGGTTACTACACCAAGCAGTGGAATACATAGAGCCCGCATGTGGAGAGTAGGTAAGGAGTGTCTACTTGGGGGTAAGATATTTTTTTAGGTAGTAACTTAGAAATAGAGCATCTTGGAAATAGAGAATAAATAAAACAGACATATAAACCTCATTTTCGCACAGGCATACACATCCATTCCCCTAGATTCAGTGACCTCCAAGTGAGTTCAGATACAGGCCCGAGGGCAGCATCGATGGAAAAGGAAGCCGGAAGAACACTCACCCCAGCCGAGAACGCCCAGACCATCAATCATGGTTGTGTGTGAATCTGTGCCTACGAGGCTGTCTGGATAATAATACCCGTCTTGATCAAACACCACTCTTGCCAAGTATTCCAAGTTCACCTGGTGGATGATTCCCGAGCCAGGGGGGATTATCCTCATGTTCCGAAAAGCCTGGGAACCCCACTAGGATTCAGAAAGAGAAGCAAAATTATGAACACTTGATGCATTACTCTACCCAGCCTATCTCCTGGAACCTGCCCCTTTGTACCCCACATACAAAATCGACCAATGGAACCAAGCTTGGCTCATACCTTTAAAAATTCAAATCGTTCTCTATTTCTTTCAAATTCTAGGTCTTGATTCTTCTGCAAACTGTCTGCCCTATCGGAGAGAAAAATGAAATACATAAATATATATAAATTTCAGGGTTCCAAAGGTTGCTGAGTTCTTAGTGGTGAATAATCCACAAAACAGCAATGGCCTCTGCTGGGGTTGCTGGGTGCAGGTATGCATTCACCAGGAAGGTGGGAAAACCACTCCTCAATCTGAGAAAAGGGGTAACGAGAGGAAAAGAGCAAGCCCCTGGTTCAGGGATGCCCAGAATGCCTCTATGTGCAACACCACGGGGAGGCAGCACGAACTGAATGCCACCGAAACTGAATCATGACGCCGGCCTCTTGGGAACCGCAAGTTAGATTTCAAAACCAAAAAACCTTATTTCTGAGCCCCTTTCTTCTCTGTGGTCTCCTCAGAATGCCTGTCTGAGCTCGAACGTGTCTGGGCAGGCATTTAATCTGTTACTATTGATGACAGAGAACTAGGCATTTACACACTTACAGTGTCCTCCTGTCTAGAGTCAGAGGTTTATGAAGTGGATGGCGCTGCCCAAGAAGATCTGTAAACCCCAGATTATGCACAAAGGCTTACTCCAGGTCAACTCCTTCGTTAAGAGTGACATTGGCAATGAAGGGTCTCAAGAAGCTTTCTAGGATTTTTATAACTGGACGCCATTGTTTTGGGCCAAGACAGAGGCAGTCAGTCGCAGCTTTGCAGGCTCAGCACACAGAAGGTACTCATCACTGCACATCCTAACAGGAGTGATCAAGTGATAGCTAAGCCCCAAGTCAGACGGTATTTATTAACATCCCTAAACCCAAACTGTCTCCATTCTGACTCACACTCATTTTCTCTGTCTCCATATTCACCTTGTGAGTTAGGTGCAATGATCACATTTACAAAGACACAGTGAGGTTCAGGGATTTGCTCTGGATCACACAGCTGGTAAGTAGCAGAACTGGAATTCAAACCCAAGCAGGCTGATGCCAGAGTGGACATTCTTAGTCCCTTTACCACACTGCCTCCCCGTGGCAGCAGTTACAGACACGAACAGTAACAACAACAATAGCAGCTAAAGGACAACCTTAAATCATTGACCCTAAGTGCTTTACACACACGATGAACTCATTCCATCACAACTCCTCGTGGAGGGACCACCCCAAGCATTCCTGCGTGTGTCCAAGTAGAACTGTGCTCCATAGGGGGTTAAATGGTTGATTTTTGGGTTTTTTAGGGAAGTAGATTAGCAGGCTTTTCATCCAAGCCTTTTTTTATTAAAAAGGCAACTAGTCGGTGTTCACTACATTTGACCAACTGCATTAAATTATGCATTAACCAATCTCTCTTTGAAATTAGTGTTTCTTGGATAAATACTGGAACACAGCACTAATTAGATTTCACTTAAAGAAAAAAACCTAAAAGGTTGAAAAAGGGGAGGATCTTTGGCCATTATTTCCATCAGGAATTATCTGTAGCCTGTGGCCCTGGTGCCTGCCTCTCTCACATGCCTGGCCTCCGCGAGATTATTCTCTGCGCTCTCACCACAGAGGGCATCAGAGCTGCTCGTGGTCGAAGCATGGGCGGGAGGGGGCACTTCATCCAGTTGGGGATAAACAACATATATTCACAGGAGAAGCAGAAATGTTCAGGCTGCTTTATGATCATGGTAACTCCAGGTAAATATCTTTCTGCTCATGAAAACCAAAGCACCCACTATGGTTAGCTTGGCTCATTCAGCCGCGTTCTAGTTATTGGCATGAATAAACAGACCTAGAATTCAGATTTTTCCACCGCTCAGAATTTGCCCAAGTTAGCCCAATAGAGTGCGCTTTTCATAAGGTCTCCGAACGGCCTCACTGACTCTAGAGGAAATTTCTTCTCGGTTACATAACTTGGCCTCGGATTTGGACGCAGTTCAAAGTTCCTGAGAATTGCACTTGGTGCTCCATGAGTTCACTAAGAGGCCTGGGGGAGGGAGTTTTCACGCTCCTGGAATCTGGGCAGGAATGCTCAGGATATTCTTGTAGTCTAAAAATAGGAAAGGTTATTTCTGAGATAACTCTTGAGAAGCCTTAAAATAATGTGTGATTTATCCTCTCTAGTCCTGAAACTTGTCTGAGGCCAACTGATACAATATCAAAGACAAGGAGCTCATAAATACTTAACTGAGAACATTTATCCTCTTTTTTTCTAGCTAATTTCTGGAAACAAGTCCACAGCAGACAGTTCCACGAGGCTTTACCCATACCACATTAATTTCTTACAAAAAACGAGGGATGGGATCCAAAGGTCAAATTACAAAATCCAAACCCAAGAAATAAAAACACAATATCACCAATGAAAACACTTCTGGAAGAGTCCTCTCTAAATAGGGGGAGGGGGGAGTGTGTCCCAGATTTGGATATCAATCTGGATCAGAGTTCATCTCTGCGCTGTTTTCATAATAATAACTTCAGTGCTGCAGCACTAACAAAAATGCTCCTCTGAAACCACAGTTGATGGAAGTCAAGGGCTGAAGGGGTGAGGAGCCAGATTCATTAACTGCTTAGCAGCCAAAAGCTCTTTAAATTTTGAGTCAACAGAATTGAGAGATTAAAACAAGCCAAGTTCTGTCTGCATTGGTAGTGCTTTGTCCACCCATCGACATCAATGTGAGCTCGAGAAAGATGGTGCTCTGAGGTTGTGAGACCACTGTTATAACTTGAGAAGTAAGAATTCAGGAGCATTCTTATATCAAGTAAGATAATCTCAATCTCTCTCTGTGTTCAATTCAAATATATTTAAGCCAAACATTTAAGGCAGTGGTTTTCAACCTTCCTAATGCCGCGATCCTTTAATACAGTTCCTCATGTTGTGGTGACCCCCAACCATAGGATTATTTTTGTTGCTACTTCATAAGTGTAATTTTGCTACTATTATGAATTGTAATGTAAATATCTGAAATGCAGGATGTATTTTCATTGTTAACAAATTGAACATAATTAGAGCATAGTGATTAATCACAAAACAGTATGTAATTATATATTGTGAAATATTTATAACAACAGTAAACTACATTGCTGTATTTTGCAACAGTATGTGTGAAAAGCCAACATCCGTGCTTAGGTTGAGATGGAGGAGCGGTGTCTCGGTTCTTAAGACTCTGGGAAATATGTGTTTTCTGATGGTTGTCCGTGACCCCTGTGAAAGGGTCGTTTGACCCCCAAAGGGGTCAAAACCCACATGTTGAGAACCATTGGTGTCAGGTAAGCTCAGGAGATAAAGTGGGGGTGGGGTGGGAACACGTTGCTTAAGGATGGCTTAGGGTCCAAAGGGAAGGGAGAGCTGGCAAGCGTCTACTCTGTTTGTTCCAAGAACAGGGTGGATTCGGGGCACAGAGCAAACTTCTCCATCTTGAATTTATCTGGTTTAGATACTGGGAAGATGAAGTTCAGATGGGCCAGTTCCTACATTACTCTGTTTAGAATACACTGTGAGTCCTGAAGCAAGCGAACGAAAACTTTTTTGTTTTGTTTTCTTTAGTGGGGTTTGCTTCATTTTCTTCAATGGCATTATTACTCAAAACAATAGCTTCCTATTGTCGAAACAAGGCCAGTGAACACCCGTAGGATAATCACTGAGCAGTTTGGTACCACTCTCTCCCATCTTTAACCCTGCACAGCGTTCTATCTCGTTGGGAGCATGCTGTCCGAGACAGCAAGCTGAGGCCTGACCATGTGGCCATTATTTCCCTCAGGAACTGTCTGGAGCCTGTGGCCCCGGTGCCCGCCTCTCTCCTCTTGAGACGCTCTGTCCATGCCTGGCCTCCATGACCTCACTCTTTGTGCTCTCACCCCGGAGGCTTTGGAAGGTGATATTTAGGGATTAAAAACCCACTAAAGTTAACGTAGAAAGATAAGTAAATGATATAAATTATATAAAATAATACCTTCATAAACATTATTGACCAAAAAGTTTCTTAGTTTTTTGCCCCCCACCCCCACCAATTTCAGATAACTATTAAGGTATTCTTGGAAATGAAAATTTTTCTTTCTAGTGGTCTTAATACGTATCACTTTTATTATTTCGAATTTGCAGTGCTATTTCTCAGCTCACTGCTATGGGGTCCACTCTGAATCATAGCAGCTGGCAGGACAGGGTAGAGCTGCCACCGTGGGTCTGAGACGTCTCATTAGGGGAGTAGAAAGCTCCTCTTTCTCTTATGGAGAAGCTGGTAGATTTGAACTGCTCTCCTTGTGGTTTGCAGCCAATTAGCACCGCATAAAGGTGTCTCTCTCATGACACCTTTATAATTAATATGTTTATTTTCTAATCTTAACTGTATTGATAAGAGAACATGGTATCTGAGAGGGTTAATTTCCTTTTTTTTTTACCTGGGAGGCTGGAAAGGTGTGTTGTGTGCATGTCCCTTTATAGGGAAGTCATTTGCTTTCCTCTGCCCGTCACCTGTTGGGTCATTCCTTCATCCCCGAATGAGTTACACTCACTCTTTCTATACTAAAGACGTTAGCACCTTTTCAAATGAATTGCAAATATTTTTGGCTAGTTATACTCTTCTATTAGAAGTCAGTCCATCGATGAAGGTTCTTTCTCATCCGGACACGTGACACATTCATACTTTCATAATCTTCGAATTTCTTCCATTAAACTTTTCTGACACTAATACTTTCATTCACATGAAGTGCTTCCTCTACCCTCACAATTATTTTGTATATGGAATAGTTATTTCTGTTCTCATTGAGATTTGAAGACAACTTTATTAACTTATATTTCTGGGCAAAGATGCCAGCCTGCTAGGAGTTCCTGATTGCCTTCCCAACTACGGCTGTGCTACTTCTAGAAAGGATGCCAGGTACTTCGCCTGCTCCTACCCCCACCCCCACACTGACTGTAGGCTAGGTGACTTGCTGTGATGAATGGTACTGTGAACATGAGAGGCCCTGAGCCAGCCCTTTGAGATTACACATGGTCTCCCTTGTTCCCTTGAGCCTCTGTGACCACCAGATAACAGCTCTCTCTTTCAGCCTGGGCCCCCCAAGTCATCACTGAATAAGGCTGACTGCAGGTGTGCGGGACAGTGCGAGCAAAGCCTTGCACAAGGGTCAGCTGGCCTCCCAATGTAAACACATTAAGAAACAATTCTTGCTCTTGTCTGCCACTGAGGCTTTAGGTTTCATTAGATAGCAATTGCTGATTTGTACAACCCAATTCTACAATGAAATATTCGTTATTTTGCCTGGGGCAAACCTTGTTCTTAAGAGAGAAGTACAAATGGCATTCTGACCAGTCGATACCATTGTGATTGGAAGGGCAAAGGCTACTATTTTTACCCTCTCAATTTTAGTCTCACCAGCACCTCTTCCAGGCCCTGTTAACTCGCGGAGTGTTTCACTTGGATTCCATTGTGTAATGTTTTCTGTGTGCTCTTTGGTGTTATCTGCAAGGGGAGGGATATGTATTTCAAGGCTTCATATCCTGATACCACTTCAACCCTATATCACAATGTAAAGCCAAGACTTTGGAAGAATGATATTTAGGGATTAAAAACCCACTAAAGTCAACGTAGGAAGATAAACCATGACTTGTCCATCTAGTCCCCAAGTCATCTTTCCAATGGGCTTGGACAACCAGTACTGCATACGTTTTGCTATGAATACTTCCTCTTAAAGTTTATGAAGATTTCTGGCCTATAAAGATAGTTCAGAAGGACACAGTCTCCCGTTCAGTTTTCTTCACTGTCAAAGGTTTTCTCTGTGAAGATGTTTTAAATACCCAAGCCTTGGGCATCGGAAACGAGGGGAGAGAATAAAAGTTACACCCAACTATCCTCCAAGCCACAGGGATAAAAATTTTCCCTTCTGAGGCAATAGCAAAACCAAATATGTACAGATCGCTGAATGGAAAACGAATTTGCTCCGCAAACTTTCACACAAACCACAGTTAAAGGAAGAGAGAAATACAAGGGCATCATGATGCGTGCAAAAATCAACAACAGTATTATAGGCACCTTCACGTCGCTGTCCAAATTCTCATTCCCACCAAAGGATCAAGCCCAGGTCTCCCGTCGAGTGTGCTAAGTGTTTGCTCTGAGCTCAGCCCTAGCACGCCTGGTGCCACTCAGGTGACAACTTCCCTTCCAGGGCTACAAACCTGCTACAGACACTAAACTTTCCAGCATCTCCCAGAACAGGGAGCTTGATGTAGGCTTTCTTGCTGGCAGGAAATCTCAGCAGGCCTCGAAGGAGAAGGATTTTGACAAGAGAAGAGGGAGACAGAGGATCCAAGCCGCGGAAGACAGAGGATCCAAGCCAAAGGGGAGGCTGGGCATTAGGGAGACCCCCATGGAGCAGTGGGTAGAGGCACATACAAGGCAGTTACTTCTGATCACAGCAAAGAGTACGGCCGCAGTGGAGAGGGACAAAACCCACTGCTGGAGGCCAGTCACATGCTGGAGGTCGTTCAAAAGCTCCCGTGGAAAAACTTCAGGTATTGAATTTTCAACCAGATTTTCAGCTGGATTTAAACACAGGCTATCCCCAACCAAGAAGTAAATAGGAAAAAACCAATTCCATTAAAAAAAAAAGTCTATCCCCTAATCTATGTCTTCAGTGGAAAATCGACATTAACTTTAACTTTGTACAATACACCTTTCAAAGACTTCATTCTTTCATTGAACTACAAACACACATTGAAAAACAACCCCCCCAAACAAATCCTGAAGTCCAGACTGTCCACCAAGCAGAAGACACTGCCTCACCTTCTGTGGAAATCCACCTGGATGGAGTGATCGATTACAAGGTCAGCGGGGCACACCGGGTTGATTTTCTCCGGATCGCCACCTAACTTTTTCACAGCGTCCCGCATCGCAGCGAAGTCAACCACGGCCGGCACACCCCTGTGAACAGGCAGAATGAAGTACAAAGTGTCTCGTAATTGGATTTTTCAGTTTTTGCCTTCATTGATAATATTGGCAATGGCTGGCTTTAAAGCCCATGTTTCTAACTATGTTTCTGCGAGGAAAAGAATCCACTGATGGGAAGAACTATGACAGAGTGGTATTCTCCTACGGCATTTTATCACTGGCTATAGTCCAAACTATGGGGGGACGGGCGATCTGGGACTTTTTCAGAGATGAATGTTTTGCATTCACACAGTGAGCTGACAAAGGCCTGGGGCAGTTACATGGGTCATGGCTTCAATGTCAGACCATGCATGAAAGAGCGAATATCATCCATCAATCAGACTGATGTCAAGGGAAACATTCTTATCATCTTTGAGAATAAATTTAGGTGGTCTTCCACTAGTAAAAGAAAATTTGGTGCCTAGAAAACACTGAAAGAGCATCATTCAATCATGGAAAGGCTGCATCTCAACACTGAGGCAGAGATGGGGAGAAGGATTCTGGGAATAGCAGGAAGTGCATCGAGACTTAACAGTAACAGGTTGGATCAGTGTTCTCCAAAGTGGGTCACACTGTCCTCTGCACACACACCCCTAAATATTCAGGGGGCTGTACAAGCAGATGCTTATCTTAGATTATGAGCTAGATTACAACATTTTTAATTGCCAACGGGGTGATGGGAAATTTTATGGTAGGCTGGGAACCTGTGGGTTCCCAAAGAATGTAGGCAGGCATCTCCCCGATGGCGAGGACTGCAAGTGCTGGGAGCATTTCGTTTTGGACGCACGCCACTGTCCAAGGACAGCTACTCGAGTCTGGGCTCCAGGAGTGACAGGCGTTGCTGTGGGAGAAAAACACGCTGAGAGAGCATTGGGCTCTGCTGCCTCAGCCTCTTTGGTTTTGCTTCCAAATACTGGATAATAAATTACATGGTCACGCTGGTGATTTGGGTGGT